AGTCGTTGGGCTATCATGGAGGATATAATATAGGGAGTGTTGGAAACTCCAGTCCATCAAAGACAAGCTCGAGTTGGTTTAGTAACCTGAAAGAGACCTTTTTGGCTTTACAATCAATAGAGGTGTGGTTAGCAGCCAGCCAATCCATACCTAAGATCACATCAAAGTTCCCAATGCAGAGGGGAATCAAGTCTACATATAAGGTTTTGCCTTTTAGGGATATAGCATAAGATTTGTATACATCAGCACTAAGGGCGGAATTACCAGAAGGAAAAGACACAGACAATATATATCCTAAGGGTTCTAGTGTTGATACCAACTTGGTAGCAAAGTGTGGTGCGACAAAAAAATGAGTTGACCTAGAGTCAATGAGCATATGAGCTAAATGACCACAGACAGAAAGTGTACCTGACACAACATTTTCGGTAACTTCCGGTTTTCCAGGTACCAAGGCAAAAGCCCTTCCTTGGCTTTTTTGGTCCTTCCTCTCTCCTCCAGGTCCTGCGGGTTTTCTGACTGGGCCAGAGGGGCTGGCTGTAGGATTGGTCAGCTTTGGACAATCCCTCAGCAAGTGGCCAACTTGACCGCATTTAAAGCATGCTCCAGCGTCTCGATGGCATTGTCCCTAATAAGCCTTCCCACAAGTAGGACAAGTTGGAACAATGCCACCTCGGGGGTTGGTAGGACCTTGATTGCCTGAACTAGTTGTGCCCGTATTCACCTTTTTAGATGGCACAACACCGAGTCTTCTGTTGTCTCTTTCCCAGAATCGGTTCTTTTGGCTTGGTTCCCCGGGATGCCAGGCTTTAATCCACTTTTCTGCAATGTACGCCCGATCTACCACTTCCGCATAGGTTAGCAAATTCAAAACCTCAAGCCTATCTTTGATTTCAACATCCAATCCTACTTCAAATTTTCTTACTTTTCGAGCTTCGGCGGGGATGACATATGTTGCAAACCGAGCGAGTTATGTAAACTTGCTCTCGTACTCAGCCACCGACATGGTTCCTTACTTTAGATGTATAAATTCTGATGCCTTCTATTCCTGCAACGAGTCTGGAAAGTATTTTGCATAGAACACTTCCAAGAATCTTGTCCAAGTCACAATTTCTTCTTTTTCTAGGGTGAGAAGCCACCATTCCTGTGCATTATCTTTAAAGGTGAAAGTGGCGAAAGTAACCTTCTGTCTTTCAGTGCAGAGTAGGGCGCGAAAAATCTTTTCCATGTCTTTAACCTAAGCATCTGCTACCATTGGGTCTGGGCCATCGATAAATGTGGTGGGTTTCAGATCCTGGAACTGTTTTATGGTAACCGGCTCTTCTCGTCGTTCCGGAATCCCATTGTTGATGTTAGTCTGCAAAGCTTACAAAAAGCTAGTAACCGTTCTTTCCATGATTCTTTCCACCAATTCAGCACCACTGACTGATGACTCGCTTTAATTACCATTATTGGCCATTCTACAATTTTTTTTTTCCTTTTCTTCCTTTTATTTTTATTTTTTACTGAGGGCCGGTCACTGCATGATAAAAACATAAATAAATAAAGGGAAAATTATTTATAAGTCCTATTAGGGAGACTTATGCTACATATGTTCATACGAAAAAAATAATGTTCCCACAAGTCCTGTGTGAAGTTTGTTGACACATTTACCCTCAATATTAGTTGTTAATATCATAAATAATGGTAAAACCATATATAGGAAATTGAACGTTACCATATATTAATTTTGCGAAACGTAACGTGACACCTACATAAATGTAACGTAACATAACCATATTAGATGGGACATTACATAAACGTAACGTGACACCTACATAAACGTAACGTAACGTGTCACGTTCCGTTTCCCAAGCTTACTAGGTTTTTTATTTTTAAAATTGAATGTGAAAATGTTACTTGTTCGTGTATTTTGAAATTCACATTCACATAGATTAAGTTTGTGAAATGTAACGTGACACCTACATAAATGTAACGTATGTAATATTCAATTTCCTATATTAGAAATTGAATGTTACCATAGATTAAGTTTGCGAAACGTAACGTGACACCTACATAAATGTAATGTAACGTGACCATATCAAATGGGACATTACATAAACGTAACGTGACATGACACCTACATAAACATAACGTAACGTGACACCTACATAAACGTAACGTAACGTGTCGCGCTACGTTTCGCAAATAGGATCTTGTGGAATACATTCTTATCTAAATAGGACTTGAGACTCTATAAAAAATTACACAGGACTTAACATAGCATAAGTGTCCGAAATAGGATTTATAAATAAGTCTCCCATAAATAAAAGCCCTATAGGTGTATTTTCTCTTATTAAAATAGTAGAATGAAGTAAATTTTCTGTTTAATTATTTTTATTTGCCTCCGTCTGCACCATTTAATTTGCTACAAATAATTTAGTAAGTTGTGATTCTAACCCTAAGTCCTTGGGGTTGGGTCGTGACAAATGTGGTATCAGAGCAATGGTTCATTCAAAAAAAAAAAGAAGCTATTTTAATTTGATTAGAAAGTTCAAAAAGTTATAAATAAAACTATATAGCTGGATACACATAATAAAATAAATAATAAATATTTACCTGCTACGTTAGTCATTTTATGTAAAATCTCACGTTTATTCTGGTGATGTAGGAATGTTCGAGATTAACCTTGATGAGGCATTTTGAGAGGAGCTCGGGGCCATTAATTTGGATGATATTTTAGTAGAGCACCCCACCCCCGCCTCACCTGAATGATGGGGAGACTCAGAGGATATAATTAGGAGACTGCATCCAGGCCTTGCCCAACTAATGGGTCGGCTAATCTATATACAGACTGATCCTATTGATTTCCTATACTTACTATGGAGGTAGAGCCATGCCTATACTCGCGGATGCTTTCTCAAACCCATTCGTGTCCTCGGCATTGCCCCGGGATATGATCGGCCGCACTACATCGTAAGCCCTTTGCCCCCAAATTTTGTGGCAAGACAGGAAAATGTGTACCCCGAGGACTATATTTTTACCACTATCCCTAACCCGTTGGAAATTATTAATATTCAAAATGTTGATTTTAGTAATGACCTATCATATATCGAGACACCCGGTTGGATTGTTGATCGAGCGTTTTTGGGATACATACAGTTCGTCCCCATTTTCACAATCCAGGCAGCGTGGATGTGTTTTGGTGTGGTTCAGTTAGAATGGGAATTTGAGCTTTTTATGCAACACTACTTCTCGTGGTTGTTTGACCCACCACTTTAGATGTTGTAGAAGAAAACTTTTTTTGAACGCTAACAATGATGTGTTCTAATCTTTTTTTTTTTTTTGGTTATTTTCTTTTGTTTTTTGTTTTTTTGTTGTACCACAGGGATGAGACACTAACATATTTTGATTTTGAACAAAGATGTAATATTAATTGTAAAAATAGTAAAGTCGGTATTTTATATGTATTGCGTTATATATGCTTATATATATGCTGCGTTATGGATGTAATGCCTCATTGATTACTTAGATCAACATCAATTCTTGTTCAGGTTCCACCACATGAGATTACGAGTCTTCCTTACATCTCGTCACCTGAAAAGGTAACAGCTATAAGCACACAGTAGAGTTAGAAATATCATGCCAAGAGTATAGGGAACACAAAATAACAATGGATAGTTAGTTAAGCTAAAACATTTACATAACTTAATTTGAATAAACAAATTATTCAAAGCGGTAGAAATTAAAATACGAAAATTACATAAATAAATAACCATAACCACAGTATAGAACAAAGGTCACAGGAGTGACAGTCAGAACAGAGGTCAATGGATCCATGACAAACAGAAGACCACAAAGTGGCCAAACAGAGGCCAATGGTTATTTAAGTCTCCCAAAGCGTGGGACTCCCATGATGGTACTTACAAAACATAATTGTTTATAAGGTCATTGTCAAATATTTTCTAAAATTTAAACAAACATATCTATGGGTTCCGTTTTAAACAAATAGAGTTCAGAAAATAATCCACGTAATTGAAATATTAACATAATTTATAAAACATAACTTGTATAAAATAAATTATGGTAAGTCAAACCATAAGTAAAATATATTACGGTGACTCAAGCTATAATATAACTCACTTTAAGATTGAGTCTTACGAATTCTTTCTTATTTCCATTGGTTTTCGGCCCTACTCTTGTTCTCTATATTTTTTTTTCGCTGATTTTTTTTTCTTCTTTGTTTTTCCGTTTGTACTCACTTCACAGCACCTCCCCCCCCCTTTTTATACACATAACTTAGGTGATGACTCATCCTATCTAATGGCCCTAAGGTGATGAATCACCTCCCCTCCCTAATCCTACGTGGTCCAGCTAGTTTCTACTCCTTCATCTCAGCAGATTTGCAATCTTTGTAATTAATGGTACTTAACTATCTTAATTATATCTATATATGTCAATCTTCTCACATTAATTAATGATTAAATTAGCCTCCAAATAAATCTCTTCATCATATATTTGATAACCACAATGGCAAATTAATTTACATAGCGCGTATAGCTTATTTATTTTATTATTTCCATTATTATTGTTCTTTTTCTTATTATTATTATTAATAATCGTGGCTGATTGTGGTATTAATTAAATATTTAAGGTGTCACAGACCAACCTCCAAAAATACCTACACGTACATCCAAAAATTTGCATATCTTTACCAAATCCATCAAATTTGCAATTACACATATATTAAACAACAATGTACCGTTATTTTCATAACTTATACCTGCACAAAATTATTTCCATTGACAAATAGCAATCTCGCGACGATCAGCCAGGGTTACTGGCGGTGATCTCAAAGGCAAGAAACTGAGACATTGTTGCAATGACAAGTAGTACAAGACTACATTATAAATTGATGCAATAAGATACCCCATGTCAGGCATAGTCATCCAACGATCAAAGCCTGGGCTATCTTCAAAATATGCAAGGATATGTGTCAGCTCCTCAACCCTCTCATCCGACTCTTATCGTATGACATATTCATCTCTATAATTATTCAATTCAAGTAGCAGATCACGCCTAACTTGCACCCAGTCATTCTCTCCAAGACCAAGTAAACCCGCAATAGCTCTAAAACCACAATTCTCTTCACCATCTACATCCTTCATCAACTTTATGAATGGTATTAACATAGGCAGGAAGTCACCAGCATATGCACTCGGTAAACTTGTTCTTTTACGATATGTCTTTGTCTTCACTTTCTGCTTCTTATCAAACACTTTCAAAGCTCTCTTTTTCTTTGACTGACTGTAAGCTAATGTGCTCTGGCTATCATGGCCATCGTCAACCAACTCAAATGCACACAGGTTACGACGACAAGATGTATCAATTTTCTTATGTCCTCGATGTGGATTAGGTTTCACAACAGGCTTAATAACAAAAGTGCTCGCTGGATTTGCAATTTCCCTCAACTTCTTCAACATACCCAATTGCGTGGCAATAGCAGACTCATTGAACCGCTTCAAAATCATCTCAAGTTCTACGATACAAGACAATTCCAATTTCTCAACCTTCAGATTATGCACACATATAGTAAGTCGCGTCCAATGTACATGTATGTTACTGAGTGGAATAGAATGGCCTTGTCTCATGTAATCTGCAATCTCGTGAGCACAAGATAAACCATGTGTGTGCCTAAGAACACACCCACATGCCGCAACATCAACTCCAACTAAATTTGCTCTCTCACTCTCTGTCAACACGTACTTCAATGTACAAATAGACACATTACCCCGGAGCTCTCTGAATTGAGAAGGTTTGAATTGATGCTACACAATTGTCAAACTCTTCTCGAATGATGCTTTAACTTGAATGTGCTGCAACTCAAGTAGACAATGTATTTTTTCAAATGAAATCTCAAATGTCGTTTGACTTGAACCTAATTGCCTCTTCAATCTGGCATGAGCACTCTCAACCCTGTTCATATGGATGTAAACAAAAATAGTCAAGCATAATAATTAAAAATAACAATATGATTTATAAGAAAAAAAACAAAATAAAAAAATAAAAACAAATATTACAGATTGGTTGTAACATTGCCAAAATGCATACACATGTTTGTATATACCACAATGAATTTTTCTTGATACAGATTCAACCAACTCACTGTAACCTACTTGATTGCCTCTGAATAGTTACTAAAATCCTTATGTAGTATTGCAAGGTGATCATTGTATTCATCTTCAGTCGATGATAATACCAAATAGTTCCATGCAGTGTTAAACTTGTCCTATTTTTCTTTTGTCTCAAACATTTTCTTGCATTTCGTTAATACATTCTTATTAATATGCCAACGACATAACAAATGTCGAGCATTCGAAAAGGTGTTGTCAATGGCATTCATCAAAACAAGTTATTTGTCTGTGACAATGACTTCACGTAAAACGCTGTCGTCCATAAGATCACGCAATGTTTGTAACGCCCATGCATAATTATCAACCTACTCAATTTGCAAGTATGAGATAGCTACGGAGAATGTCATATGAGTTAATGTTACTCCCACAATTTCAAGAAGAGGAATTTGATATCTATTCGTCTTATATGTGCAATCCATAATCAACGCACGAGGGAATGTACGAAGCAAATCCAAACTCACTAGATATGCCCAAAACAAGTCTGTGACAGTCATAGAGCCTTCCTCACATCGATGACGCTCAATGTACTTATGTTTCACTAATTCACCTAGCAGTTGTTGCATCTGGGATCTACCAGCTTCCTGCAGAACCCTATATCGATGTCGTACATTGTAAACTGTCTTCATTGTGCTCATATTAAGGGCATCCCTCTGTTTGAGTGTAATGTGTATCTCTTTTGGTCTTACTAGGCTCTTTGACATATCTACTAACAGCGACTTTTCATTAGCTGACAATCTCCCTGTATATGAATGTCCTTGGAGATGTTCCGTAGCTAGATGATTATGCAGTCCACAAACTATATTCAATATCCATTTATCGTTTGTTTTCAACTTGTATACGTTCAAATCAAATGGACATTTGCACTTCTTCGTACCAGTTTGTTTCAGTAAGTCTTTTGAGTCATCTTTCAACTTTTTACGCGATCTATACTTTCCACTCCGCTCACAAGCAAGATAAATTCTTTGTCTCTTGCGACCGCCACCATAATCCGACGTCCTTATAACAATAACAAAGCCATTTGTCCTTCCAATATCACGTACCCAAATGAGCAATTCATCTTTGATGTCGAAAACCTATATATAATGTCACACAATTTTCATAAGAACAAACTAAACAAACTAATTAATAAAAATTATGAACTTACGAATTTCATATTAAAGTTTTCCTATTTAGCAGTAAAATGACTGGTACAATCCACCGTAATATCCAATCGAACCTTAATTTCTTCAGTGGATGCCATCTGAGAAGGGAAGGAAAACAATTTTATTTAGTTGTACAGAGCCGAACATAATAGAATAATTCAGCACTACAGAGCTAAAAATAATGAAATAATTCGGCATTACAGAGACAAAAATAAATAAAAAAATTCGACACTATATGGCCGAAAAAAATTATAAAATTCAGCACTTTAAAACTAAAATAAATTTCAAATCTCAAAATTTAAGTATTGAAAAATATCATAAATTCAGAACTTGTATATCGAAATATGACTATTATTTCGGAAGTTGATTTCCGAATATTTTGATAAAATTTCACACTAACTATCCGACTAAAAAACGCAAAAAATAAAATAAAAATTACTACACGAAAAAACTAACATTTTCAGTACTGATTTTGTTGTCATCAAATATATTTTTGCTTGAGTTTGAACTTCGATAGGTTTGCAACTCTTCTATATCAAAATCAAGTAAAAAATGTGAAACTAATAATTAAATGATGTAAATAGTAGAGTATAAACCTAGATATTAAAACAATATGAAAGATTTTACTGATTTGCAAGTAATGGATGAGTATAGAGTGTGTAACAAGCAAAGTGATAACAATGAAAAAATTAGGGTTTAATTTTTTTAATTCAAAAGGTGTATATTGGGATTTTTTTTGTTCTTAAAAGATATGTACAGAGAATTTTTTATATAATATTATGGGTGTTGCTGGATGTCTATTATAGTGATTTTTATTTAAGATATAATTTTCATTAAATTAATAATTCATTAAGTGTGTGCCCTGAGTTAATCATGTGTGTGAAAATAGAATTTCTTGGCATAACAGCACGCTATGCCCCTTTGTGGGCAGTCATCCTGAGTATTCTTTTAATAATCTGAACCATTTATATTGTAGGGTTCGTTAAAAATACTATCTATGTAAAAAATCAAGGTAATCGAATATTCATGACCCCCCATGATTAGGTCTTAATTGTTTTTAAAAATTTATGAAAGTTAATCGTTAATTTTTATAAAAACAAATGTGCTTTGATTATAGGGTTATAGATTATTAGGGGTGAACAGCGGATATTCTGATCCGACCGAACCGAACCAAACTAATCTGCATCATTTTAGACGAATGCATGATAACAAGCGGACGATTGCGGATTGATTTTTTTCCAATCCACTTAGTTTTGGACGGATGGCAGATTTGAGGTTTCTTTGGTCACAACCGAATCGTCAAACCGCGAACACGTCTAATAATTTGTAGGACTTTGTGTTTTCAATTTATTTAAATATTCTGTTTGTATGTTCAATTGAAAAAAGTTTAGATATTTTGTTGTGTTTTCAATTTGTTTTCAATCTGAAAATCCTTTTATTAAATAGTAAGTGTTGATATTTGGTATTTTTGTGTGAAATATATAAGGCAGAATTTTGTCATTTAAAAAAAATTAAATCAAATTAACTAGTTTTTAAATAAATAAAAAGTAATGAAATAGTTTGGATAATGCATGATTTTTTATACATATTTATTATTGGTATTTGGCAATTTACTTGATAATCTTTTAGTTATATTGAGTTGGATTGTTATTAAAAAAAATGTTGACAAGTTGTTGTATTATGTTTAAAATTTGTAAAAGTTTAAACCGCCAAACTGATTCGCAACCATCCGTCAATCCGCTCAATCCACATCTGTCAATCTAATGGGCGAATGTGGATTGATTTTTTCCAATCCGCCAATCCAGCAGATGGATGGTGGATTGGAGATTTTCTGGCTGCAACTGAACTGCAAACATCCTTAGTAGATATCTAATGAATTTGATTTTTTGCATAGATGATTTACTCGACGACCCCAACAATATGAACAGTTCAAATTATTGAAAGAGACTCAAAACGATACTCCATAAAGAAGCTCAGTAGCCGGTTGTGCCTACCCAAAGGCACAGGAGGATCTCCAAATTCCCACAATAGAGAGAAAGTGGTCATAGTAGGTGTTTGGAGTTTGTTTTTTCTTTTCTTTCTTATTTTTATTTTTATTAAACTTTTTTAAAAATCTTTAGTCTTTAAGTTAAAAAAAATTAATTTTATTTTTTTGTAAAAGAAAAATAAATTAAAAATATGGAAGACTTATTTATAAGTCCTATTTCAGACACTTATGTTATGTTAAGTCCTAAGTAAAAACTTATATTCTCATAAGTCCTATGGGAAGTTACTTGACACATTTACCCTTAATAATAGATGTTAATATCATATCCATATACATTAATTTTGAAATTCAAAAAACACGTTATTTGTGGAAATCAAAGGATCAGTTTGGCAAAATTATAGGGGTTAAAAAGAAGTAGATATGTTTTGTGCCTTTAGGCTAATGTAAACGGCTGATTCAATTGTTAACATTTCGAAACTCACCACGAACAGGAGAAGGGGCGCGATTCGACGGAGATGTTCGAGGGAAAGGTGATAACGGTTACCGTTTACGGTGAAAAGGAGAAATGATGACTCCGAAACGTAAGTGTGGATTTGCCCCTGTTTCGCAATGTTAATTTATTTGATTTTTATTAACAACCCAAAACTAGGGTTTATGTGACCTTCAGTCATAATCTGCTTTGTTATTTGTATGTTTTGTGAGAATTGTGATGAATAATTGATTTTACAATTTCTGAATTGGAAATAGTATGTATGTTGGGGTTGTACGATGGAGCCTCTGCGGGTTGACCAGTGTGGGTGATTTATGCTTGATTCATTGTTGTATTGGGTTTGCTAGACTATTTTGGGGGTCACAGTCACATTCATTAATTGATTTTATTTGTTTTTTTTCCGATCCGAGCATAATATTGGGTTTGGTAGACTATTTTGGGGGTTTCTCGTTGTGGTACGATGTCGTTTGGTTTGCGCCTTAACTTTTTAAAACCAGTTGTTGAATGTGAATGGTGCCACATCTTGGTGTTGTGTGTTGTACAGTTAATGAATGTGATTGTGGCCCAATATGAAATTAGTGTCGGATGTGAGTGGAAGCACATGTAAGTTGGACTGTGTATACAATGCCACATTGTGGTACGATGTCGTTTGGTTGTTGTCACTCAAATATACGAGTAAGTTAATGGACGTGGCTGGTGCCACGTCGTATTTTGATCTGCTTACATGTTTGTGAATTTGTCAAATATTCGAGTGACAATGTTTGTAGATTGTGGCATGGAGAGAAACAAAAAATGTAACATGAATTAGGTTGTGTGGTTGTGATTTGATGTAAACATATGAAGAGGTTACGTTTGTTTTGATAGTAGTTTTCGTTGACAAGCTTCACGTAACACATCATCTTTATTTTTTGAATCATGGTCGTGCATGTGGGTGCGAAATTAGTTTTAAATTACTGAGTTGTGTGATAGTAAATTTCGTTATAATGTTTTTTGGGAATTTCTGGGGCAAATATTACATGTTTGAACTGTGAATGTGACATTAGTCACAATTACGTCAAGTACTTCTCAGTCACATTTGGAACCATGGCCGTGAATGTGTGCACGTAATTTGTCACAGTTACGTCAAATACTTCTCAGTTACAATTGAAACCATGGCCGTGAATGTGGGCGCGTAATTTGTCATAATTACGTCAAGTACTTCTCAGCCACACTAGTCACATCACGAACATACTGACATGCAATGTTACGTATTGCTATTAAATTACATATTCACATACATTATCAGTGGAATCTTGCATGTATATGAAATGTGAATTTTTGGTGGCATTTTTTTTCAGGAGGCACAATTAAAGGTACACCACAAAAAGGCTGCAAGGCAAAAGTGAGCAGCAGTAAAGGGACTACAACTGGTAAAAGACGGCGGTCTCAAACTCTGTCACAGAATGTGAACGCATTAGGGCAAAGCAGTGCCCGAAAAAGAAAGAAGCTGAAATATGAGCCTCAACAACGACTGAACAAACAACCAACATTTTGCTACCATTCTAACATTGCTGGAATTGTGAAGCTGGTGGGAGCGTCAAAACTGAAAGACGAGCATTTGCAACATCTTCAGAAAACACCGTTCTGGTTGCTGTTGGATACGATGCGAAAAACAGATCTAAACCAACATGAATTCCAAAAATGCAATGACATTGTAATGAGGATCATTCAGACATTTGTTCCAGAGAAGTCGGCTTTCATGATTAGTGGTAAACACATTGAGTTGACAAGCATCGATATGTAACTAATATTTGGAATTCAGGGTGGTAAGAAGAGTTTAGATGTGTCACATGGGCCAAGACTCCCGACTGACTTCATCCAACGAAAGTGTCCCAAAATAGCACGCATAAACTTGAAGACCATTAAGGAACTGTTAATGAAGGTATTACCCGGGAACACTACTCAGGATCACCAGGATGTAGCAAAGTTACTGTGTTTGTACTTGTGTGGGAAGTTATTCTTTGCTACTTCAGGCGAGACCGTGGGATGGGGGTTCGTCCGGGTTGTAAAGGATCTAGAGAACATGAAGGCATATGATTGGGCTGGAGCAATCTGCACAACTTTGATGGAGTCAATTAAGGGATTTTACTCTAAGCCTAAGAAAGTTACTGGATGTGTTACTGCCCTACTTGTAAGTGCTCTGTTTTTTGTTTTTCCCACAATATAATTTTGATTTTGTTTGGTAGTTTTGGCACGTTTATTTGTTTTGAAAAAATTTTACAGCTAATGTTTTTAACCCATGGTCACACAGTTTTGGATATGTGAGCACACCAACTTGATACAAGCAGATCGTGGAGATGGATTTCTGAGGTTTATGAAATGGAATATCAGCAAGTTGGTCACAAAGATAAGAGCAGTGGACATTGAGCATGTCACAACCCAAACCTGCCCCTGTAGGTTTAGCGCCGTAACTGGCCAGTAATCCGTGGATTACCAAAAGCCTATGAACAGATTAGCAAATAATAAGGGGCTGCGGAAGCAATAATACAAAATAG